AGAGCCAGTATAATAAATAAATATTTAGCACAATCAGTATAAAATCCTGAAAGCTACAAAACATGGGATGGTTCATTTACAAACACAAGTTTCACTCTTTTTTGTTGAAAAAATCAAATTGTTACACACTTAAATTTACAAAAAAAACCAAAAATGTTAGAAATCTCTACTGTCATGAACAAAAATGTAAACCTGATTGAGGTCCAAAATATAATTGACTGTTTTGGACTACTTTTGATTTTACATTTGTATTTCACCTTCAAATAGTTTTATTTTAATATTTTCAGCTTGCCTTGCTTGGTATCATTCTTTTCAGCTCAACCTCATTACATAAAAACATAAAATCCTAGTAGTAGGGAAACTTTGTTACTGTAAAAACCACAGACATGTTTAGTAAATTATGCTCAACATGTAAATTGTAAATTCTGAAAACTTATGCACAAATTTTGTAAACAGACTTATATACAACTATTTATCTAAAAATGCAGCCAATGTATCTGGCTTTGTTTGTTTGTTTTCTTTGTACACCCATTTAAAAATACTATGATAACTAAAATGAGAGAACAATCTACTGTCAAAAGGGAGAAAGGTTGGGTGAGCCCAGGCCTCAGGAGGGTAGCCAAGCTAGTGTAACACACCCAAAGAAAGATTCTAGGTCTACCATGTTACACTAGTGTTCAAGAAAGTGAGAAGGACAACCCAACCATTGGAGTGATCTGGAGGTGAGTGACGGGCAGGAGGGCAGGTAGATGTGGGCTCCATGAATGTTTCCAGAGAAGATAGCCATCGGAGCCTTTTCAGGTGAGCAGTCTGGAAAAACCATTGTTGAAGTGACGGCAGGTGAAATGAGTAATGGTCCTGAATTTCGTAGTGGAGAGCACTAGAGTAAAATTCAAGTGTGCACCAAGTTCGGACTGGGCCTCAAATTACTGATTTAATGTATGTATAAAAGAAAATACCGAATGTCTCATTGTTAATGTTGGATTCTGTTGGATTCTGGATTGTTAAGACCAGTGTAAGCTAGTCACCCAACTTAAACATGGAACGTCTACTTAAATAAATGTTGGCCTATTCTTTGATTTTAAAAAAAGGCAGAAAGAACAGACTGCTGGGTGAGTTAAACTTGCTCACATCAGCAGAGAGAGAACAGCCTTGCACCGTAAAAACATCTTGATAAAAAAAATAAAACCGCTCTAAATGTTTAAGAGTTTTGCGTAGCCTTGTTTTGGCCATCACAACCTTCAGGGAGCTTTGAAGGAATGTCCTTTCATGGTTCCCTGAAGGTTACAGATTGTTGGGTTATGTGAATAAAACAGAGAACTTAGATGTATTAGGAGCAGCTGGTTGTTAGGGAGCCTCTGCTCATGTTAGGCAGACAGAGTGCTGAAGTGTTGCTGCCCTCTGCTGGACTGTGTGTTGTATTCAAAAGTCTAAAATTAAGATACCCATGTAATCCCTACGTACTATTAAAGTGCGTCAAGATTGAAAAATGCTACTCATGATGCTGAAACAGTTTCCTCCTGTGAAAAGGACAACTCAGTCTCCAGATGAGAATACGTTTGACTCTCTCTGATCATGCCCACTCTCACTTTCCATCAGGGTCTTTATTAAA